TCATGTATGGTCATGGAGTACTGTCCTGGTGGCGACCTGCTCACTCTTATACAACGCCAACCCGATACCAGATTTCCTCTCCCATCTGCTAAGTAAGTCCAACACTCAAACTCCAACCATAACCTATTTGGTTCATATTGTCGCATTTTTACGTTTTCTTTAACGATATAGAATCACATTCACTGATGATGCAGATTCTATGCAGCTGAGGTGCTTGTAGCATTGGAATATCTTCACATGATGGGTGTAATTTATCGTGATTTGAAGCCTGAAAACGTGCTTGTTCAAGAAGATGGTCATATTATGCTCACGGACTTCGATCTCTCCCTTAAATGAGACTTTTCACCAGAACTTCTGAACTGCAATGCCGGTAGTATCATGGACAAGTACCACTCTCGTTTATCATTGCCTAACAAGAAAAACAATATGAAACCTTCTTCTTCTTCTTCTTCATCCTCTCCGAGTGCTAGTGCGATACTACTAGCTGATATTCAGAAACCGGAGGTCCAATTATGGGATGAGCTGACCGATGCTCAATTAGGTTTGTTCGTGGGCACACGAGAATATCTAGCTCAGGAGGTGATAAGGGGGTTAGGAGATGGGAATGGTGTAGATTGGTGGGCATTTGGGGTATTCTTGTACGAACTATATGGTAAGACACCTTTCGAAGGTGAATGTGGGGGCGACAACCATGAAAAACATACTTGGGCAGCCTGTAACTTTTCCCAGGATTTGTACCGGTTACGAAATGGGGAAGGCACATGATTTCATAAGGAAGCTACTGGTGAAAGATCCAAACAAGAGAACGGGAAGTTTGTGGGGTGCTGTTGAAATCAAGAGGCATTTTTCAAAGGCCTGGATTGGGCTCTAATTAGATCACTTAAGCCTCCACAAATCAAACATTCAAGTGAAATTTGAGTTCCATTTCCAAAATCCGATCAGCAGAGGGCAATTCTCTTTTAAACCTTTTTGTTGTGAAATGGTGGTTTTACCTATAGTGAAAGCTTAGAGATACACGTGTGTATTAAACATACAAATTAATACTGCCTTTGTACAAAAATAATTTAGGTTTGATTCCTCGTTTCCTCAATGGGAGAAGGGAAGTGGAAGCAACGAACAACACCACAAGATACTGGGAAAGGCAAGAGCATGTTATAATTTCCAAAGGAAATTTCCCCTTAATAACTTGAATACAACATAATTTTTTTTTATATCGTGAATGTACTTCTGTAAGAAAAAGAAAGAAGTTTAAATATAAATGCAACATAATTATTAAATTCTAAATAAATATATGATATTGTTATTAAAGTATGTTGTGTTTGTTATATGGTTTGTTATACTTTTATACCATGTAATAATTATGTTTAGTTAGTAATAATTATGTTTAGTTATTTTTTAGGAAAATTATGTGAAAAAATTATATTAATAATGGAATATATAAATTTAAAGTTTATTACGCATAGATTTTTAATTTTAATTTAAAATTAAGTGGTTTTCATGGTAAATGAATTTTTGTTATTCGTTGAGGACCTGATTTCGATCACTATAAATGTCAGATGTGTGAACGTTTAATAAAAAAATAAATTTTTTTAAACAAATATTACTTTACGCCTACCCACATTAATAAAAAAAATAAAGTCGTATTAATTTCCCCAATTTAGGCTTGGGCTCCGATGATCAAAGTGCTGAGAACTGAGAATCTAAAAAGTAAGTGGGCTTGACGCATAAAGTTGGGTCAGACTTCTCTTCCATAAAACTTTAATTGTTTGATACATTCATGCTCGAGTATTCTAAGTTCTACTTAACCCGTGCACACCATGAAAATGAAACCTCCCCTGCTCTTCTATTTTCACAAAATATAGTATTTTAAAAACTATGAATTCGTTTATAAGTTATTTATAAAAGGAAAAAGGAAAACTTTTCTTGAGGTATACGTAAAATGGTTGTCCCTCTACAATAGCGGCATGCTGATAGTAGTCTAATACCGACCCCTTCCCTCAAACCCTTAAAGTAGTGGATTTGGATCTTCCTTTTCCAGATTTGTGTATGTGACGTGCATGCATCATCTTAATTAACAGGTCAACCATGTCGGCATCCAACTCCACTTTTAATTTCTCAAAAGATGAATTCAAAACATGTACGTTTACTAATACTACTACGTTTATATATAATTGTTTCAAAAAAGAGAAGAAAAAATGTGTTAAACGTTTTATTTTTACAACTAATTTTAAAATATTTTTTTTATATAAATCTTAATGCATACCGACTGTATTTGACGAGTTAAATAGTTTATACCCATAGTAACATTTAATAATTTCTCGGGGTTAAAGAAAATGTGTGTTTAACGTAGTGAATAGAGACGCAAACAGAAAGAAAGCAGAGCAAAATGAATAAAAGGAGAGGGACTAATGATGAGGATGAAATTGGGTGGTGCATGGGAACGAGATTCCCAAGGCCAATGGAATCATGCACCACTTCGCTTTACAGTTTGCTCCTTTACCCTTCTTCAAGAGAATGGACGACACTTCTTCTCAATCCCTCCCTTCTTGTTAAAATATGGTGTTCGTTGGAAACAGAAACTAAATGCCCGTGAGCCCTGGTATTTCTTTCAAATACTTCATTTACCATTGAAGTCGCTCCGGTCGTGTTGAATGTTTAGATTTAAATATTCATCCTGGCCTGATTGGCTGATTCCATGAGTTAAGCACACTTTTATGATTATCAACCACCAGAATGAAAATGTACACAACATTCATTATATTTCTAATTATAATAAATATTTATGAAAAAGAAGATCACGTTGAAAGCTCAATAAACAATAAAGAAAAGTGGTTTTGCAAGATGAAAGAAGAAAAGTAGTGATTAAGCAAAGCAGGCGCAGAAAAGGGGGGGGGGAAAGATGGTCAAAATGAAAACCTCGAAGAACATCAATATCATCACCTCCCAACCTATCTTTATTGAAACTCTCTTCTCTTTTTTTCATTTGCCTTTTGTTTTTCTCCTCTAAAGATATCAAAGTTATAATCAAAATATGTGCATGCATGAATTGTATTCCATCCACCTGCTTCTTTTTTCCAATATTTCCCACGACGTCTCGTCAATCAAAATATAACCAAGCTTGGAAAACCTAATCGCGTTATTTAAGTTTAATTTTTTATTATACTTAACATGAACACTTGTCATTCCAGTAAGCCTATAAAAAGAATTTAAGAACTCCACTAAATCTTATAATATTAAAAATTAATAAATATAAAAAGTATATTTCATTAATGGAACAAATCAATGACTGAAACCTAAATCGAGAAAGGATGAACATAATTCACAAAATGAATAAAGCAGCCCTCTTTATTAACCAGCGCACACACAAAACCAAAAGACTAAAGCTCTTTAACCCCATTCAACCATATGCTCAAGTGGAGCTTTAAGTACAGAAAAGGAGAACATTCAAATATAAATGTAAAGCAACAACAATTTTACTCGTGTTTTGCTGACTGTTGATTCTTCAAAGTATAACTGAAAGAGACATGACCTATATAATTGAGATCTTAGATGGGCCCTTCCATTGCCTAGGTTTCATTCTTCATTGTATTCCCTAAATGCCAAGAAATGCTTCATACCATTCTTTGGCCGTGAAATGAACTTTGTTTTAGAGAGTTGAATTAAAGATTTTGAGAAATGTAATAAAACTACATAGTATTTGTTAAGAAAATTTTGAAAACGTATTACCCGATTGAAGAGCAATTTTGGATTAGATGTGATGTAGTCATAGGGTGACAGGATCTTCTGTTTGCTTTTTGGGCTGCCCTACATGCCTCTCCCTCTACCCGAATCAACACCGTCGCTATCCATCCCACTTGAGTTTGAGTGTTTGACTGTTTGTCACCAAAAGAAGATTGTTTTAACTCTATTAACGGGTTGATTCAAGTGGTAAGTAGTTTAATATCGTTTAAATAATATTTCAGGTTCGAATATTTGTGTATGCAGAAAATTCCTGTCAGAAAAATCACCCATTAAAATCAAATATACGACCTAAATCGATTCAGATTAATCAGCACAAAGCCCCTTGAAAATAAATTGTTTTAAAATGTTTCCCATTTCCGTATCACACACACTAAAGCCTCACTGTTTCTGTCCTTCAATTCATGCCCGTCATTCCTGTTTTGCACATTGTTTCCATCTTCAATTCCCATAGCCCATTCGATTCAAGTTTCCTATACATAGCAAGCCATTCATCCAACTAGTTCATTCCTTATCTTGTCAACATTTAGCAAGTTAGAAGATAAGGAACCAGAAGCACTTTAATTAAAATGTCTAATTTTAATTATATAACCTCTAACTCAACTCTAGATATAATCTGAGTATAAATAATTTGATACGTACCACTTTAACCATTTTGGAGACTGAGCCGTTGCTGATTGAAAGTTCCCACTTTCTCCTGCCTTAGCCTTTGAGCACTAATTTCTTCTGCTTTTGCCAACCTTATGCATACTACTTGTGTTATTTGTTTTAAAATTCTAATATATTTTGATGGATTAATTCCAAATATTGATTTCCATAACCAAATAAGTTCACAAGACATTATGTAGTGGAGAATTAGTATTGTACAGTAATCTCTCACTTCGATGTGACAAAGGAAATTTGCATTGGGTTTCAAAAACATACATATAATAATATTAAAACAAAAAGAGCTAAATTGTTCCCATCCCATATTTATTGACCCCAGAAACTATGCATATGTCCATGCACCAACTACTTGAATGTAATTATTATAGTATCACCAAAACCCTAAAAAGAAGGCGAATTTATTGAAGTTTTCAAATTTTTCCTTCCTTTGGAATCATACCCAGAATTTTCCTTTATTCTTTCTTGCTTTATTAGATTTTTATATATTAATATAATTGTTATTAGTAGTATTTCATTTATCAAGGCTAAATGTGAAGAACAGGAAAAAGTAGCATACACAGCTAGCCCTCCGTTTCTACCCTTTTCAGTGCTCTAACCATTGTATATAAAGAGCCCCTTGGCTGAGTCGTTTCTTCAAGTATTGATTCAAACCCCATTCTCTTATTGAAGTGAGAGTTATTATCTTTCCATTATTCTAATTAAGGTACAACTTCAAATCTCAATGTTTTGTTTTCAGACATTGTATTGGCCGCTGAGTTAAAATGCTTTTGTTTTGAATTTTATGGTAAAGATGAGCAGGCCAGGAGATTGGAACTGCAGGTCATGCCAGCACCTCAACTTCCAAAGGAGGGATTCGTGCCAACGTTGTGGGGAATTACGTTCAGCTGATCATTTCGGCGGCTTCGGCGGTGGGAGGGGTGGCTCCTCCTTTGGGTTCACCACCGGCTCCGACGTCCGACCAGGTGACTGGTACTGCACTGCGGGGAACTGTGGAACCCACAACTTTGCTAGCCGTTCTAGCTGCTTCAAATGCGGTGCATTAAAGGACGACTCTGCCGGAGGGTTTGATTGTGAGGTTCCGCGTTCTAGAGGAGTCGGTAGCGGTAATCGATCCGGGTGGAAATCCGGCGACTGGATATGTACCAGGTGAACACATTTGTATGATAAAGTGACGTGTTGTGTGACTACGTGTGCATGTTAATGCCATGCTTTTTCCACCCTCAGTAGTTGCTTCCTTTCCCTACTATAGTTTCTTTTGAAAGCAGTTGAGTTGGGTATATATTTGAACTTGTGATTCAACCTTCTTTTGTTCCAAAAATAACTTAGACACATAGACTTGGTTGATGAATGCAGGTCGGGATGCAATGAGCACAACTTTGCAAGCCGAATGGAATGTTTCAGATGCAGTGCTCCAAGGGGCTTCAGCAACAGAACTTCCTACTAAAAGCATGCTATCAAGTTTTGGGTACATTCTCTCTTTAACCTTAGTTTTTCATGCAATTTGATCACAAAATCTCATTAATATATGTGGCTCTTGACTTGCTTTTGTAGGTGTTGCAAACCAAGAGAGATTATTATTAATTGCTGTTTTCCTTTCTCTTTATTATATTGCTTTGGGGTTTGCTGGAATTCCTAAAGGGTGAAGAAAACATGGTGTAAATGCCCTTTGTTTTGATCACCACTTGAAGCCATTTTCCCATGTTTCCCCCCATAAGAGTTACAACCGTGTACTACTTTTTGTGATGATGATGCTTTCAATCTATCGTTTTTGTTGCTTATTATTATTATTTTACCAGAGAGAGTTGATTTATTTATATTGCAATGCTTGGCTTTCTTAAAAGAAGATGATTCTCTTCTCTTTTTCCATCACCATGCATTAACTTTAGTCATAAATAATTTATTTTACATGTTTTTAATTTTGTCTTTAAAATATTTTAATTAATCATAATTATCAAGTACAACTGTTGTTAAAATTAAAAAAACAACAGACGATATGATTAGCAGATAGGACTCCACTTCTGCATGTCAGCATTTTAACCCATTAAAATTTGGTAGTATCAAACATACCAATGCAGATAATAATAATTTAAAAATAAATAAATAAAAGTTTACAGATGAGAGAAAGTTGTGGTCATGCAAAAAGCCAAGTATATTCAAAACATAGAATCACATTGGATTCCCTTTTATTGTCCTATTAATGTATCTCATATGCACTGGATTATATATAAAAGCTACAATCTGTTCATTAACGTTGTAGTTTCTTTTCCCTCCTAATCAATAAAACTAATGGAAATGGAATGAAAAGATGGTCCAACTATACATGTTGGGCCTAACCACCCAATTCAAAAGAATTTGCTCGTACGACATTTTATAAGAATTTTCTAAATTTAGTAAATATTTTAAATAGTTATTATTTATGTTTATATTCATTGATACTCCGTGCATATTTTTGTTGATTCAAGAAAACTTCCTCTTTCAACTTTGCTACTTCAATTTTACAAAATACTGAAAGTCCGTCTTTAAATGTTTGTATAGGATCCCTCCTTTAAGCTCTTTTAAAATTCAAAAGTTAATTGATTTTTTTATTAAGATGATTATAAAGTATTATCTGTTCTAAACACTTTTAATCGTATGATAATGAACGTTCAATCACCTTGTTACAGCTGCTGGTGCTTGAACCCGTGACCTCTGAAAAGAATATCGATTCCTTTGAACATTGAAATAAGTTGATTCGTTCAATTAATTGAATTTAAATGAATTTTTTTTAATTGATCAAATAATAAGTAGATTGAGCTCAACCCCATCCAAATCTTGGATGTGTTTTGTGCTAGCGGTACAATTAAATAATTTTATGCTTTATGCTAAGATTCTCCTTGTCTTCCTTTGCAGCTATTATTATGTTATGTCCATCTTATCCTTAATTATTTTAATGAATATTTGGCCCAAACATGTTCTCTTAGTTGCATGCCCTTTCAGTGTTAAATTATCCAATACAAAAACATAGACAAGAGGTGTTTAAATTCGGATACCCGAACAATACAAAAACATAGATAAGCGTTATTCAAATCAGGGTACCCTACTCAGGTCTTAGAATAGTTGATTGTTCGGTCCGTGTCTTAACTCGGATGTTGGGGTATCGGTAATCGGATATCTAATTTTTTTATTATTTTCAAATTATTAATTTTTAAAAAAATATATACAATTTATATTATTAAATAAAATATTATATTAATTATTAAACATACAACTATTATTAAGTGGATGGTTTTTTAATTTTATTAGTTTAATTTAATATATAAAATTATTAATAATTAAATATGTATATTATATATATATATATATATAAATAAATGTAACCAGTACTCGGGACACCGATAGCTGAAAAAAATATAATTTTGTGACCCGGGCTTGACCCAGGAAATATCAGGTCGGTACCCGGCCCGGTTAGATAACTTTTTTAGATAATTACCCAGTTTTTTAGTTCGGGTCAACGGGTCAACAGATCGGATCAACCGAGTTGAATATTTTTTAACACCCTTAATACACATTGTATAATTTAAGATGTAGTGCTACGTCTCGTTGAATAAGTATTAACTTAGGAAAAATTAATTATAAAATGAGTTTTAAAAACTTAATTTAGAATAAAGGGAAGAATTATGTCAAAAAAAAAGAATAAAGGGAAGAATACCGGAGAAGAGAAGAATATATTCGTTTTTTTTTAATTCATTACATTTATGATATCTCGAGTTGCATATAAATCAAGGTATTATATAATATACCTAAAACTTAAAATAACTTAATTGCCATTACTACTTTGAACTGTAACAATATGTTGTTTTCCAATCCAAAGCAAGTTCATTTGTGATGAATGTAAAGCTCAGAACTTGTTGTTATCGGAACAGAAAATGAAACCATATTAATATGTTGGAAGTTTGGGTAAGATCCACAACAATCTGTGCAAACAAGCACCTTCCTGTTCATAACATTGTCTGTACTTTCTGTAATTATATCCTTTCTCAATAGACACAACTATTGCAGAAGAATATGGGGATCATTTTCTATTGAACATGCAGCACAGCCATTTCCAGCCGGAAATGATCACCGGAGAGTCTACACAGTCAACAACCGTTGGAACTTAACAGAAAGAGCGAAAACACTTTAGAGATATGAAAAGGGATTAAAGAAATTTAGGCCATCATATCAAATGCCTTTTTATAGTCCAATGGGCAACTGACCAATAAAAGTCCAATTAGTTAGAGTAACGGGCTCAATAGAATCCCGATCACCACCAAACTTCCTCAGGAACTACTCACGTAGCGGCTTTTATGTACCTTCCTGCACAGCTTGATTGTTGAAGTGGCGAATGCATCCATGGGGTCGGTGCATTTCTCAAGAAGTGGATCATTCCAGATGTCATCAGATGCAAGGATAACGGTGGACCATAAGACCTTGGAGAGCAATTCTCAGTACATTCCGTGCTCCTTATTTCTCAACCAATATGAACGGAACATCCCTTAAAACACTTCATCGTGCCATGAGTGTGACTTAAGTATGACAAGGCATTACAATGCAGTGAGCTCGAGGAAAACCCTTTCACTCCATGGGTTTTTTAAAATCAAAGGTACGATCTAATGGTGAAACTTCGTTTCTACTGCAGAGTGAAAAACTCTTCTCCAGCGATGAATGCTCCCACTGGATCAGAGCAAGCAGCAAATGAATGCATTTCTCTTCGTTCTCTTTGCTCAATTGCACTAATTTTCTCAAGAAATTTAGAGTAGAATCAATGGATAACCCTCCAATTATTCCCACATGTTTTCCTAGATTCTGAGACTTCCCACTTTCATCAATGCGTAAGATCACTGAAGATGAAGGCATACCAAGAACTGGGTTCAACCTTTTATTACAAACGTTTATCTTCTTAATTATATAGCATGAAAAGTACGATGGGCAATTGAGTGATACTTGCAAGCTTCTATCCAAAGTCTCCATATATAAGTATCAAAGGCAAAAAGATAATTTTTCCCTTGCACTATACTCAATTTATCAATTTTGCTCATCATATTTTCGCATCAATTTAGCAAGTTGTTCATTGCATCATTTTATATCTTACCCGTAAATTAAAACCCTAAATTATAAACCTTGAACCATAACCCATTACCTCTAAACCATAAATCTTAAACCCTAAACAATAACTTATGATCTATAATTTAAGGTTTTAAGTTAGGGGAAGGGTATGGAATAATACAATTAAATAACTTTGTGAGTTAAATTAATACAAAAATACGATATGAACTAAAATAATAAATTAAATCTACTAAAAAGACAAAGGTGACCCTTAATCAAGTATCAAATTGATCTTCTATAATCCCCCGACATTTCTATCTTTTACAACAACAAAACACGTACAGAAGTAGCTAAGAATTCAATCTTCATCGAGTTTTCAGCCTCAAATTCATCATTAACATCAACAAACAAAAGGATCAAGCTTTCAATTAGGATTTGCCGTCAATTTTCGCAACCCAATCAGAAAAACAAAAACCCTATTCCAAACCCAGGATGTTTTTGATTCCAGAATTAAAAAACAACCAAAAATCAACAAAGACAAAGTGGATACAAAAAAGAGAGAGGGGGTTCATGTCGTGAAGATTTTTCTTGATGTGTGTACCAAGTTTGGCAATGCCTTTGATGAACCAGCAGTTTACAGTTAGTGGGAAAAGAATCTGTGCTTTTGAGTATAAGGGTCACTCTCACTCGCACAATTTTCTCACTATACTATTAAGTATTACCTCTTATAGTAAAAAAAATTAAGTTGAAATAAATAAAATGAAAACAAAACAAAACAAAAGGCAAGTCTCTGCCTGTCGTCTTGCGTCAGTAGAATGTGCAACTTGCGGGACTATCAAGTGATGAGTCGTGTTCTTGTCCTTTGTTTGTCAATGAATGTCCAAAAATACTAGTAGTATTTAAGACTTATGCAAAGTCTCAAGTAAGTGAGAGAACCACCATCATTTCCATTATCAATAGCCTTCATTGACTCCAACAATGCTAGAAGTAACCCCTTCGTTTTGGTACAAAAGAGGATGCGGCGAACAACATAATTAGAGTGAGGTTTCACCGGGCGAAAGGTTTATGTGCAGGAGATTCCAAGATGATAGGCTACCTTCTACCAATCAATACTTCCAAAACAATTAAAAACATCTTTTCCTGCTCGACTAATGCTATTCAATTTGAATGGCTGAGAGTTAAAGAATCAATACTTTCTATTACCTACAAATTCATTGTCAATCCTTTTTATGATACCTTTACAGCATGTTTTTTCTTTCATTAAAGATACAAGTTGCTTCATTGCAAGAGTCTACTCTTTATTACTTTTCAAAAAAAAAATAATTAAAATATTGTTAAAAATATTTTCTTTAAAAATAAACAAATATTAATTTTAAATATTTAAAAATATATATAAACAAACGAACTCAGCAAATGGTCATAATAATAATAAAATATTATTTTTTAGATATTTTGAGTTTGAATAAATACGTCTACATATTATGAACACATTATCAATTGATTACAAAAAACTTAAACAATTATCTTTATAATCAACTGAAATTATTCTTTAAAAAAATCAATTGGTTGGGTTAATGGGCCACATGTACTAGAACAAGACAAATGGTGAGATTTTATCATTTTCCACAGTAATAATTTTTTAAAAAAATGAATAAACCCATGTAAGTGTTAAAATGTTTAAACTTAATTTACTAAAACCACTTAAATTCAATTCGATAATGATAAATAATATTAAATCGGACTTTGAAACATGTTAATGATTTGAGGAATTATGTTGAAGAGAAAATTAGCAAAGAAAGTATGGGGTAATAATAAACATGAAATCAACATCAATGCTTTGAATTTGGAGAGCTACCAAGGAGTCATTGTGGCGTGTTTGTTTCAATCTTTATCTGGCGGTTCCCTTTACTTATCCGAAACTTAATTTACCAAATTCAGCTAATGGCACCTTGACATTGCATCCAACTTTATTCTTATAAGTTTTCTTTTACCAAAGTTTGATTAACATCTTATCTTAAACCATAGGGATTGAGGGTCAGCCTGCTCCCAAACGTAAACATTCTTACTCTAAAATGTAATCCTATCTAAATTAATTAAGCATCATAGTACAAAGTTCGGGTAAGACAATTTCATTTATGAAAGAGAAAATTATTTATATATAAAAAAAAAAAGCTTATTCTCTTTTTCTTGGCCTTTAGGCACTCCCAAGAACCATCAATTTATATTTTTATATGAATAAAAGGTACAAGAAAACATATTAGAATCACATGTGGGGCAGATAATATCGGTCACGCATCTCAATACCATGTGGTCCAATAATTTACCCTTCAATAATTGCCAACTATATACGCTCTTCCACGCCTTGCATTTCACAAAACAAAGTTCACCGTCTTCTGTTTAGGCAGGAGGAATGTGGAGCAACCTTCCCTTTGACGTTCAAGCTAAGATCTTCTCCTTCCTCTCACCGGACTCCCTGGCACGTGCAAGGTCGGCTTGCCGGAATTGGTACATGTGCGCACAGACCTATCCCATCACCACCTCCTTCGCGGTATCACCGCAGCACCACCAAGCTTGGTTCTTGGCTCTCCCAACTCGCAACCGTGGCCAACACTGCTATGTCCATAATCCGGTCACTGACAATTGGCACATGCTCTCGTTCGACTTCTTGCCTGACCCGGTTCGACCCGTTGCACCGATCGGTTCCCTCATCCTTGTAAGACCAACAAATTCCACAGTCCTTCAATTAGCTCTATGCAACCCTTTCACAAGGCAATTTAGGTACCTTCCGATGTTAAATATCACTAGGACCAATCCAGCAGTTGGTGTTGTAACATTAGACTCGGCCCAACATGGTCCAAACCCACACTTTCAAGTTTACGTAGCCGGCGGGATGTCCGAAGCACCACATGGCGGTGCCACTTACGAATCCAAATTGGAAATGTATGACTCGGTGGATGACACGTGGTATATAACAGGGTTCGTGCCGATGGAATTTGCAGTGAGACTAACGGTTTGGACACCAAATGAGAGTGTCTACTCAAATGGGGTTCTGTATTGGATGACTTCAGCCAGGGCCTATAGTGTAATGGGGTTCGAGATCGGTGCCAACACATGGCGAGGATTCAGTGTTCCTATGGCGGACAAGCTCGAATTCGCGGTGTTGTTGTGCCGCAATGATAGCTTGACGCTTGCGGGTGGGACGAGTGGAGGGGAGGCTTGTATATGGGAGCTGAAAAAGGGAGATAGATGGGACTTAATCCAAAAGGTGCCAACGGAAATGGGGATAAAGCTTTTAGGTGGGAAGAGTAGTTGGGCCAATACGAAATGCGTGGGCAGTGAGGGGGTCATTTGTTTGTATAGGGAACTTGGGTCAGGAATGGGAGTTTGGAGAGAAATGAAAGACAAGGCAACATGGGCATGGTCTTGGGTTGAAGGTTGTCATTTCATTGGTGGCAAACAAGTGCAAAATTTGCCAATTAAGGGTGTCTTCCTCCGCCCAAATCTATATCCATTTGCATTTTGAGAATATGAAAGTGGAGCCAACATTTTATCCAATTTTTCCATGTTCAAAACAATTGAATCACTTAAGAGTTAAAATGCTTTTCAGTGCTCTGTGAGAAAGAAAAGATCACACATTTCGGTTTAACTATGTTGAAGCTACTTGCTTTCGATTCTTTGTGACAAATAAAAGAAACCCAACGCTTTCAAGTACTCTTACATTTAATAGCCTGATTTCATAATTGTAACACGTCAGTAGTATATACACATTCATTCAGTTCTTTGTAACACCCACAACTGAATCATGATCTAAAGGCCTCCATTTAAAATTTTAATCTTAGAAGGTTTGCCATTCCCATTGAATAAACCTATATTCCTAAGTTCTTTTGGTAAAATGCTTAATTCATTTGAGAAGATAGACATTACCTCATTTATATCAAGGCTCAGTCGTGACATGTATGTCTTCAAAGATTAAGAATGATCTTTGCAATACTGCTCCTCTGAATCACAGAACCTCTCCTCAATATCACGTGGAAGTTCATGAAGCAACCCTTCCTTCCATGCCAAATCTCGGATAATTTCAGCTCGGTTATACCTGTACAAAATTTAGCAGCTGATAATGATAAACTGCACTCAGCATGCAAATTAACAGAGAAACAGTGTCTTGAAGAAAGGACAACAAAAGGTATGAGATGCATACAAACGCCATTAAGCAACACTTGTTGCGAATTAAAGAAAGGTGGTGGATGAGTCCTCCACAGTGGTCTGCATTTTTAGCTGTTTGGACTTCTAGTCCTTCCTCTTGCATTTTCCTATCATAACATAAATCATGTTAAAGGCAGAATTGCAACGAAAAAGCCAACATCCATCATAATAAGAACAAGAATGATAAAAAAGAGTGGAATCTCAAGGTTACATTGTATATCCTATGGCGAAAACCTTTAGAGAGAACACGCCATGACAGTTCTCTTTTCAACCTCAAGCTGAATTGGAAGTTCATACACCACCACCTACTGCAATTAGTATCCATGGAATTGAAAAGTGAGCTAAACTTCAAGGTCCACAGGTTAGCACTGTTGTTATTTTCAATCAATTGTTAACATCTGAAACTCAACATGTTACATGTCTAATTTTAAGAGATTTTCAAATTATACATAACTAAATCTTTAGGACGTGGTCTTGCCCCAAAAAGAATAAATAGGATATGGTAGGAAAAATTGGAGCACAGAAGTGAAAGTTAAAGTTGATTAATCAAATGAATAAACCAAGCGGCAGCACTACCTACTTTGAGCAGATGTAGTTCTGATAAAAGTGGAATGAAAAAGATGAAGGGGAAAAAAGGTAACCGTTTGGAGTAACCGTTTTCTCTCACGATAGCTGGACTACTGTTTTGGGGATTTTTGGGTTTTCTTCTCGGTTGTTGCTGATTGGGTCAAGATGGTTCCCTGCTGATTGCGGAAGGCTATGGATTGGAAGAGTCTTTTCTCTGGAGTGGAGGAGCAAATGCTGGACTTCTTCCCACCAGAATGTTGTGAGGGTTCTACGACGGTGATTCCTCCGAATGCCGTGTTTGAGGAAGGAATATCTGAGTAGAGGCACTCGTTGGTAGGGCAATTCATTGGGTGACGTCCTTCTCTTCTGGTTGTTTAAAGTTTTGATCTATTTAGATGCAGTGAATGTTTATGGTTTAGATTTGATATTGGAATTGAATTAATATGTAAACGTTTTACTACGTGGGTCTTGATTCACACCATCTCCGATAGATGAAAGCGGCACCGCTCAGCCGCTCCTTTAACGCAAGCCAACAAAGGTAGTGAACCCGTCGAGTAACTTCCAAATTATAGGCCGATCTTGATTCTCTGTCTCCAATTTATCCCTCGTCATGCCATTATAAGCATCTTTCGCATAAAACTTGCCCACTTCCATGTCATTCCAAATTCTCTGTCTCAAATATATTTTGGGAATTAAAACGAAGAGATTCCCATTCAAATACGTGTCGATCCCTGCTCTTTGAAATACTGCTTTCACCGTATTAAATAAGGATTGGCCTACATCTCATTAACTCTGAAAGAAGTGTGAATGTAATCTTTCTACACCTGGGGCTTTAACGGGATTCATATCGAACATGGTCAATGGTGAGCTAACGACTGAGGTATCTTATTCTTAACCCATTGTAAAGTTGACTAAATAAATTAATGGCCTCCTGTTTCAAGATACTATCATCAAATACCAATCCTCCGAATTACCTACTATCAGCCAACAAATCTTGTTCTGATGTCGAAAAATCAGGGCCTTGTTATGAAAACATTGTGTTCCTGTTCGTAATTTATAATTTGACCATTAGCTAGTATAAAATTATCATTCAAAGAGTTGTTCAGCCCATACGTAGGAGCTCGATATCTCTAACAGAAGATCCTGGATTTGAGTTTTGTGAATGAAGAAAAAATAACACTAAGACAGTTTTGTCCCTTGCCTAAGAGTCTAATCAAATATAATTGAAATCTAGAGGATAACTGGACGCCTTAAACCCCCCCCCCCCCAAAAAAAAAAAAATTGCATTGCAATTCACAATTTTATCAGCAAATTTGTATTTAAAAGTATAATTTTACCCCCCCACAACAGGCTGTAAACACTCGAGGCAATGATTCATTCAATACGCAAAATGTCAGTCGTGTCTGCATCTGTTGGTGGCCCTTTTTTTAAGACAACAGAAGCCATTACTCATTATCAACAACCATGTTAAACCAAAAAAAAAAACAAAAATTATTTCTCCAATCTCTGAATAAGTTTCAAACATCAAAATAGTAGATTTCCAGACTGGTGTTCTAATCAGCTAGACCCCCAACCCAATTTCCTACATTGTTTACGCAGAAGCAGAAGCCCCCCTATTACAGAAATCAAAGCCGTACCAAATCCCATTAGGAACAAAGACATTGTAATTGAATGAGGCAGCTTTGGTATAATAGCCATACACCGTCACACTCTCTGGCTTCCACCCATCATATCCACTCCTGTAGAGGTAAAGATAGCAAAACCTGGTACGTGCAAGGACCGTTTATTTGAAATGTATCGGTCGAACACCTTTCAAATGTTCTTGATTGTGGATCATCTAGCCTTGGTGCATACACCTGCTCTTTCCAACCGTACTCCATTTAATTAATTAAACCCCCATTTCCCAATTTCATGATTCCAGTAAGAAAACATATAAACATCCGGAGACACATACCTGATTTCCATAAGCATCGCCAAATGCGAGACTGATCTGATCTCGTGTGTAGGTAGTTGAAGAACAGCTTGTCCTTATTGATACCGTGTAAGAGCAGCTCCTCTCATTCTATGCAAAATAACAGTCATTATATTTTAATTTTAGAGGGTAAATAAAAACAACCCATAAATGCCGACACTATATATGGGAAGAATTCACCAACAGGAAATCTGTAACACAGAAGTTTGGCATCCCAGCAAGATTTGCTTGAAACTATAACTAAAACGATCTAATAATCAAAGGCATGGATGGATGAATAATAATCAGTTGGAAAAAACAAGCAGAAAGTAGAGATCAATGGAATCAGATTCATACCCGGGTTGCATTGACCTTGAAGGACTCGAGAGGCTGAGGCCGAGGCAATGGAAAGATGCGCTTAGCATCAGCTATGGTGAAGAAGATGAAAATCAAGGGGAGTAAACAGATCACAGCTCTCATCATTTTCCAAGATACAATGAATTTTCTATGGAGGAGCGAAAATCTAATATTCTTTATAGTACAAGGGTGTGAGCTTTCGAACAATAAAAAAGGGTAGTCAAGTCTTTTGGTTAGAAAAAATATCTGCGTGTTTATCGTCATTCGTCATTTCTCTGTGTCGATAATAACAAAGATTTTGAATATGAAATATTTAAAATTACCATATCTACCAACCATGTTGAAAAGGAAAATTAGTTAATAAAGTTCCAAAAAAAGAAGACGCCACATGTTCCCATCTCATTCATGTGCTAACATCTCTGCTTTTCTTCATTTCATTTTTATGTTAAATTCTTTGTGCTTGATTTGTTCCCCAACGGAATCATTTAATGTTTTCTTTTTACGAACATTCTTACGAAATGTTTGAATGCACTGCAAAAAAAATTCAACTTCACTAGTGAAGGAATCAATTCAATCCGTGTCTTGTTTGCATCGGAAACAGTTCCCTCACGTTCTAAAAGTCAGAATGAGGGATTGAGATCCATGTAATTGGCTCATATATATAAAAGAAGTTCTATCATCCGAAAAGAGCCGTAAAAAGCACTGCTTCAGTTCAATTCCCCGACAAACAAAATACACATCCCATCGTGGATTTGAGATCATTGTTGCCTCTCCTTTATGTTCTTGAAATGTTATTTCTTGCACAAACAAACACAAGTTATGAGCAATTGTTTCGAAAGAATTTAAGTGCGTGATGGATCTGATGATATAATCTTCCTCTTTATCAAGGCAAAACGTATAGATCTTATCCAGTTTCCCTATCCAGACGAGAGAATTACAGCAGATACTCAATTGAATTTCATTGATAAACAAGGAAATTACAGCAGAATAAAGAAGGAAAGATAAGAAGAGAAATACGAGAGAATTAGTAAGGAAGAGAGGATAACAGATTTGTAAAAACTTTCATGTTTTCCTTTAATTGCCAGCTAATGTAAACACCAAACGAATCGATTTTGGAATGCCCTTTCTTAATTACACCATTTGCTGACTTGGCAATTATTGATGTGTGTGCTGAGTTGGCATGGACTGCACTTGGGTCATAACACTATCCAGTAACGGGGCGAACCCATGTCTTCTGTCGGTACCATTTGAAGAAGAACTAACGGGGGTTTATCAATTTCACTTTTTTCTTTAGTGCCTTGCAACACATAAACCTGCATTGCCATTCAGTCAAACTTTTGGGTTACCTCTGCTTGATGTTTCTTCCCTTCTCTCCCAGCTCTGTCTCAAAAGTTCCAATGAAGATTATATATATGCATACAATGAAGATTGCAATGTGGATTAAACGTGTAATATTACATGATGTTGTCCATTTCGAAGATACGATTATACTGTTGAATATGATATTGGATGGAGTACAACATAAGCATGCACGATCATGCAGA